TAAAAGTAACCAAACCACTCTATATTGATCTATCTGGGTTTTTAATTTTCTTTTGGCTCATTTTGAGTCTATATAAGAAGTAAGATAGAGCCGGATATTGTTCTTGGCCTAGTGTTAACGTGAGACTCTTACAAGAATGAAACCCAGCTCTGATGGTGTCCATCATATGATGGACGAAAGGTCATCACGTTTTCAGCCGAAACGAGGGAGGAATTATTGTGGACTATATCAAAATGAATCTCGTATAAAAGCCAAACGGCTGCAGTTCAACGAGATTCATCCGTCTTTATCTGGTGAGATCGACCATCGAATCTCTTCTTCATTCACTTTCTTGCGAACTGAAAGTCTTTCTAACAATATTATCTCAAGATATTAATCGAAACCCTGTTTCTCTTCATATCTACAATATAGGATGTTATTCAAATGCATTCATTTTTCGATGACGGAATCACATATTATAAAGTATCTGACCAGCACAAAGTACACGGACTGCCGAAAATTTCCCATCTACTATAGCTTAACTTATTAGTGAAATTAAGGGAGCAAAGATTGAATAAATATTTGAAAAGCTTTTTCCAGATACATACTAAGTAAGGGAAAACGTTGATGTGAGTAGTAGATATAAGATGCTTTATTTCATTGTTTTGTAGTGAAGTTTAATTTATAATCACTACTGCTTTATACCACAAGAATGTCTTTCATTTGCCCCAGTGAAAGCCGCTGTCAAGATCATCGAAAAGACAAAATTCGATGCCAAGACCCAGCGACTGCTGTCCCGCGAAATAGAGGCAATGGAGCGATTGAATCATCCGCACGTGATTCAACTTTACGAAGTACAAAGCAGCATTTCGAGGCTTCACCTTGTTTTGGAATATGCCCCTGGCGGCGAATTGTATGGCACTCTGATAAAAAACGGTCGTATGGAAGAGAAGGTGGCTAAAGTGATTTTCATCCAGATTGCGTCTGCCCTGAAACATTTAGTATGTCATTTTAACATTTATGGTCTACTAAGATAAATTGTAATGTTGTATAACATTCAAGTTTATGTATTTCATGCCTTGATGCCTTTTATTTATATAAATTTCGCCTCGTAAATTCTTCCTTCAATCAATCGCAATTGTTTTCGGGCAGCATATTTACTGTCGATTACTGGTCTGGCTGTGGGCGTGCATTTGAACCTACAGTTCAGGAGGGCTAGAATCGGCCTTTAAGGAAGCATACCAATATGAAGTTATGGTGCCTATCTTCATAAGAATCGTAATAAGGTTGTATTTTGAGCTCTCGTCTACTTCGAGTGAAAAAGTGCAATGAAAACGTCTGCGGGTCATATACACCAGAAGATAAGACAGGATTCCTATTTTCCGTGTCTGCCTGACCTATTCATTGATTGTGACGCAGACCATTTTTCGCATATTACAGGCTATGGCTTCCAAAAGATGGTACATAGTTACATAAAAAAAACTAATCAAATTTTTTTAGCAGCTCCTTTTTGGTGATGTTGTGGACATATATACCATATAAAGAATAGCTAGTTAGTCTTTATGACAGGGAGTTGGCTTGAAGTTTTTGTAAGTTAACAAGCATTGAGGATGTTTGTAGCGTAACATTACGCAAGGGCAGATATGAAGACCAAGATAGTGTGGCCCTCGGTATGGTCGTAGTCTCCCTTCGATTTATAGAAGTGGGTTGACCTTCTTTTCGTAACTTGGTCTTGTTGTCAGGGCGACTTAGTAGAACGCACTTTGTCCCAAGTCCTCTGCCATAGTAGTTATCATAACTCGCAACATCAGCCTGTGGAATTGGTACATTCTCAGACGTTTCGCCGGCATCGTAGTCGACATCATCGCTGAGTGTTGCTATTCTCTGCACCAAACTACGAAGTCGTCAAAGAGACAAGTCAATCCCTCAACCAACGTTCTGCCGAAAACGGTTGCCCTGTCACTCTTCTTTCTGTCCTGGCCCATCTATCTACTCTTTATCCCCATATCCAACTCTCGCCCTATCATAACTTCTGACTTATTTACATTCCACTCTTCATTAGATTTTTCCCCCAAAAGATGTCAATTGCCTCGCGTATCTTCTATTTCCTTGTGTTGTCACCACATGGGACTAGTATTCCTGTTGCCTTTCAATTGATCTCATTTCCAGTCTGTGCATTGTGTTCCGCTAATTCTGATCTTCCTATATCTGTTTTCTTGCACAGCCTTTGATGTTCTTTGATTTATATGTTAATTTTTCTTCCTGTTTCGCCAATATATTTCTTTTCGCAGGCACCGCATGATATAAAATAAACTCCTGCACAATCCAATTTGTCTTCCCTTTCTTGTTGCGTCTGTAGACTTGCGAAAAGTTTTTTTTTTCCTTCATGGCCCCCCGAATATTCCATTTATTAATATTGGCCCTAGTTTTGGGGTTGGTTCGCAGGAAGGTAGGTATATCCACTTTTGTAAATCATTCTCCGTCCTTACGGCTTTTTGTAGTCCCCATTCTGCCGTCGGCTTTTCACGTCCCGTATGTTTCTTTATATTACTTCGCCTAGGTAGCCGTTTCCGAGGCATATCCTAATCAATTTTTCCAACTCCTTGTCAGAGAATTCTACATCCGTTAAACGTAGGCTTAGGATGACCAAGCTCCTCATTATTCCTATTTTGATGTGACTGGAAATTGAGTATTATCCCGGCATAAGACTTCTTTCTGAACGATTTATTCTTGAGCATCCCATTAGAGCGAATCACTTTAGCATCCATGACCGGCAACCGCTCACCTTCTTCTACTTCAAAATAAAATCTGAATTTTTTCATCAATGTGGTTTATAAACTTTAGAAAATCTTCCAGTTTCTCTCTTTCATGTGATCAAAATGCGAAGTAATAATCCAGGTATCGCATAAGTACTGCTGATTGTTCTCTTCTCTTTTGTTCATGTATACGTTTGCCAAAAGTAGTGATAGAGACGATCCCATGGGAAGTCCAAATATTTATTCATAGAATGTCTCGTTCAGTGTAAAATAGGTTGTCCTTATTGTCAAGTTGATTAGTCATGCTAATGACTCCCGCCTGATCTGTTGTGGTTCCAGGGTATCCTATTCCCCGTTCGGGATTTCCAGCAGGGCCGTTTGTGCATATTTGTATACATCAAAACTTACCAATAAATCTGCTTTTTCCAGTGCCATATTCCTGATTTTTTCACAAAATTCATATTTTGTTTCATCGTATTTGATAGCATGTCATTTTATGTCTTGAGTTTCAAACATATGAACTTTGCCAATTTGTGTGTTGCCCATGCATGCTGTTGATCTACAATTACAAGATAAACTTGGCTCTATGCCTGCTCATGCCTAGATTCTTGTGAGTAAAAGTAAACTCAGTTTATACCGGCTTAACTCGAAATAGAAGCAATAAAGAGAATCAGAGCAAAGAAAAAAAGCTCCTAAAAAGTGAGACTCTTAAATAGCAGAATAATACAGGCGTCCATTTGATGCTCGAGAGATTGAGACGCCTATTCATGATTGAGAAATGGCCCAGCAGCGCTTTTAGATAGAAAAGTCTGTCGCCAAGGCGACATATATTTGCCAGCCCAGAATAATAGTTTTATAATTACTAAGCGATTTGCTGGAAAATGCTATTAAAGAACTATAGATTGACCGAGGAATCGGGATATTTAGGAAGTTTTTAGACTAAGAGACTAGTTACTCATCGGGCGTGGAAGGCAAGCTTTGCATTGACGAAAAGATGTTCGCAAACAATGGAAATCTTTAATAAAGGAAAAACCATACGCTAGTCACCGGCTAGTAAAATTGTAACTCAACATTATTTAAACGGATTCAAACAAACAAAATTAAGTGTTCTAACCTCGCTTTCGCAACTTAGTCGTGTTATCAAGGCAACTTAATTAGAAGCATCTTGCTCGAAGTCCGAGGCCATAATAGTTATGATATTTCCCAGCTTTGGACCATGGACTTTGTACATTCCCAGACGCTTCGCCGGCACCGTAATCAGCATCGTAAGGGCGTCTTACGATTCTTAGCACCAAGCTACAACTCATCAAAGAGACAAGTGGAATCAATACCTTGACCCACCTTCTGCCAACCCGTTGTGGTATCCCCCCTCATTATGTCCAGATGCACCTACCTATTTCCTATCTTCATATTTACCTCCTCACTGGCTAAGAATGGCAAGACTTAATGACGATGCCCTGGGAAACGTCCGGGAATGTACCAATTACTATAATAAAGGACTTCGTACAAGGTTCGCCCAACTAGGTCTGCCTGAAAACACGACCAAGTTACGAAAACGAGGTCAGGCCACTTCTATACATCGAAAACTGGCTGCGACCAAAATATATGCCACAACCTCTTGGCCTTCCTATATACTGTTATACTAAATTAATTTTTACAGTGGGCAAATTCAATTCGTAATTGTATATTCTAGTACTATTATAAGAAAAACGAATCAACAATCAATTTAAAGCAGGCGTAATGAGATGCAGAATAGAATAATCAACATTATAGAGACATTATAAGAGACTAGTCGGGTTGAGTAGATTCCTCCCGGCACTGGTTGTGACCCGATGAGTAATACAAGAGGTCTACAGTTAGATTGAGTAGCGAGTAGGATGCAAATGGAATCTATTTGGAGTGACTATTTTGGTGAGATAAGTTGTCAAAGGAAAATTTAATGTAGGGAATTAGACTCTGGCCTAAGGGAAGACGAGAGTCGGAATATTCGTTTTGAGGCCTGTATGAATGAATATATGCTTTTGTTCTGCTGGCAGGAGGTTGTCGGCACCCAGTTTTGTGAGAACATTAAAATAAGGATGTTTATAAGCTCTGGTTATTTTGGGATGCCCGTCAATGAGGATCACTGCATCCATGAGTTAACGATGTGAGTTGCTATTTGATAATCATTTCACTTGTAGGCTCATCAAGTCGTTTGGTGATCTATGCTTTATTGTCTGCCTTCAGCACGAGCACGATGTCATTCACCGAGACTTAAAAGCCGAGAACATTTTCTTCTCGGCTCCTCTCTTCGTCAAGCTAGGCGACTTTGGCTTCTCCACAGTGGCCGGTACTGGCACTCGACTGATGACCTTCTGTGGATCTCCACCATATGCAGCACCCGAGCTCTTCACCGATGACTCTTATTTCGGTCGTCCCGTTGATCTCTGGGCGCTGGGTGTGATCACATACTTCATGGTGACCGGTATTCTACCCTTCAGGGCTGATACAGTGGCTAAGCTGAAGCGCCTGATCGCTGCCGGCAAGTTCACCATGCCCTTGCTCATCTCCATACCCTGTCAACGTCTTCTCCAGGGCCTCCTTTGTCCGCGACCCGAAACTCGGCTTACGGTGGATCAGCTGGCCAACATCGAATGGCTCGAGGGTGCTCTGCCAATGCCGGGTCAACTGGGAGCCTCAGCAACCGACAGAAGTGAAGTGGAGATGAGGGCTGCTCATGCTCAAGTGCTGCAAGCCCTGCAGATCTGGTGGGGCATCGACCCAAATGAAGTGGAACAGGCATTGGCTGCTGGACCGACGCATCATCTGACTGGAATCTACAGAATGTTGGTCAGCCAGGCAGGTGCTAGGGCGAGAGGAGACGGAAAACCCAACGAAAGTGTGCCAGATGGGAAAGTGTCGAATGCGATGGAGGAGCAAGACGAGACGACCAGCTCAGCGGATCGGGCAGGGGAAAAAGTGGCCGTCGAGGTGGCGAGAAGTCGCTTGGCTCAGAGCAATTGGGCAACTGCCAGGCTTCCACCTCTTCTTACGAGCCAGGCTTTGGCCAAGATTGTTGGTCAGCAAAAATGCGCACGATTTTCGAGGTCAGAGGCAAAGGAGCGGCCGACACTTGATCCTACCAAATCCACATTGGCTTTTGTCACTACGTCTGGTGGAGATGCACCCTTGGAAGGTCAGGCAGGACAAAATGAAGCTACCGGTCGACTCACCAGTAGGACCTGCCAACTGGTCTAGCTAGTCAGCACTCCATGGAATGACAGTGCATTTACTCATTAGAGCAACGTCTACATGACCTTCGGGCCTGTGTTGATCGGCAACACAATAGTTCACAAATTAAATTAAGCCTTCTCCACACCTTTTGACAAATCACAGATAAAACTTTCTATCACATCCATCGGAGACTATATAAAGCAATCTGAATAGCAGACACAAGTGCATTGGGATTTCCTCACGATTTTATGGGATGATCCAAGGTGTTATTTTCACTTAACCATGATGAAGAGTAATAAATTATTAAATCTAACGAGTTTCTTTTTATCCGCATCATTTTATACATTTATTGGGGCTTCATTCGAAGCCAGTTGCTCTGCGAAAACATCCAACCTTAACATTTCCGGAAATTGACATATAGATCTGTATGGCAAAACAGCTGCTACGAATAAATGACGAAAAAATGTGAAATGTCTCGTATGTTTTATATGATCGTTTACAACAAATCATACATATATACCTTACGTTTTACTACGACATAAAATCCGGTTCCATACCGCTAAAAATGGGTGCTATTATGAGATGTGTTCATCCTATTTCGTTTAAGGTGATGAAGGGCTGGTAGCTAAATTTTCTTATAATGATATAAGTAGAGCTGACGTTTCCATTGAATCTCACATAGCCTTTCCTAAGAGGTGCTCTCATCGAGAATGGGGGTCTCATCAGCACCCTCTCCGGGAGTCAAATCATGACAGTGTAGCGTATAATCTCGACATGTTAACTATTACGCCACATTGCCACGAATGCCCCTGAGTCACAAGGTAGATGTGAATTTCAAGGAAGGCCAGGCATAGTCCAATATCCCATTATGTGGTGGGAGTGCCGATGAAGCAAAGTTATATTTGCTTTGGCAATCAACTACACTACTTATTTTCCATTTGTAAGCAGGCTTTCCGGACGACCAGTAAATCAGATATATATGAGATGGTACTATTATGCCTTAGGGTCCATTTAGTGATCGGCTAGCGCTACAACTTACACACTTTTGTCTTGAGTCCTGCTAGAGTTGGACGAATCAAAAACTGCGAATGATTCTGATGGATAATATAATCTTTTGAGTTAAGTGTACAGGCAAAATCGAACCTTTTCTTAGTTTTTCCTATCTCATGTCTTGCGCTGTCAAGTTATACTGGAAGAAGAGGTCCCAGTCAAGAATCATCACTTTTCAGTTCCGCTGAGTAATCTAGCGTAAAGCAAAACCTTATACTCAACCTGATCTTGCTGGTGCGTATGATTATAAAAGGTGCTATGATCCAAAGTTGCTGGAGCCATATGGTCCAATGGGCTTGCCTGTTTATGTGTGTAACATGAAGTTACATTCCACTAGGGCTAAGGATATTACATATATGAGTTGGAAATTTCGAAGGATTCCGAATGAGGAAATGCTTTTAGCAAACTTAATAAGTATAAAGTCCATATTAAATCGGATTAACCATATCATTATTCAACTGCGCAC